CAACAACCCAGAGTTATTCGGACAACTTAAAAAATTATGGCACTATGTTTCCTACCGTAAATTACCCTATTATATCACACATATACGGTCACACACTTCTCTTCCAGGACCCCTAGCTGAGGGCAACCGTGCTGCAGACAAAGCCACAGTCGCCCTCACCACACCACAATTATTTCAACAGGCACAGCTCTCACATAGTTTCTTTCACCAAAACAGGAAGGCACTACAAAAGCAATTTCAGCTAACCACTGATCAAGCACGTAATATTATCTTGACATGCCCTGAATGCCAATCTATAGCCCCGTTGCCACAATTGGGAGTTAACCCACGTGGCACCTCACCACTGCAAATTTGGCAAACGGATGTTACACATTTTAGAGAATTTGGTCGCCTAAAGTATGTACATGTCACTGTTGATACTTTTTCTAATTATATCTTTGCTACTGCACACAGAGGAGAAAAGAGTCGAGATGTCCGACGACACTGGCTAGCAGCTATCGCTGCCATGGGTATACCAGAAACCATCAAGACAGACAATGGCCCTGCGTATGTATCTAAAACCACACAACTTTTTTTACAGGAATGGGGCATTCGCCACATCACTGGAATTCCACACTCCCCTACAGGGTAGGCGATTGTTGAGCGTGCCCATCAAACACTAAAGCAATTGCTAATTAAACAAAAAAGGGGGAGTCTGGAAGATCCACCACAGGAACGACTGTGGAAAGCCACTTTTGTTTTGAATTTTCTAAACAGAGACAACACTGAAATGACACGAGTGAATCGACATTTCGGAGCTTCCCCAATGTTCAAAACACGGCCAATGGTCCATATTCGTGATATGGCCACTGGACAATGGGAAGGCCCTGTGCCATTGATAACCTGGGGGCGAGGGTATGCTTGTGTTTCCGCAGGAAACGGTCCCAAGTGGATACCAGCACGATTCATTCGACCACATCTAGAAGCTGAGCAGCACGAACAATCATCAGAAACGACAAAGCAGTGAATCTTTTCTGCTCACAAAAGTGTCATTGGTTCTAATGTTCTAATGGTTATGTTATGTTTACCATGTTTGTTTAAAGCATAAATCAAGTCATGTATGCTCAAATGCACACTGTACTTGCCTTACAAAGTATGATGATTTATAGTAGTATTAATAGTATAGGTTCAATGTAGTCATTAAGATGTAATCTGTACATTAAACAAAAAAGGGGGAGATGTGGGAGAACAAGGGGTTAACAGGATTGTGGAAGAAGCAGAGACCAGGAGAAGAAGCAGGAACAATGGCAGAAGATGGCCCTTAAGCATCTCCGGACCTGTAAACAGGACCTGTAAACAATGCCTGGCCCCCTGACTGATGGAGGGGAATTCCACCTGCCTGGCAGTTGGGGGTTGCAGGGGAGTGTCGGTTGGGAAAGAATAGACACTGGTACTATATAAGCTGCTTGTTGGTTATAATAAACGATTCTGGTTGTATCACCGACCGGGGTCCGTGCCTTCATACGCTACACAAGTGTGCTGGATACCAGGAGGCGGGCTGTCATAAAGCAGGGTGAATGTAGCCCTGGTCCATCTGGAGACAGATCTGCTGGTGTTGGACCAGGGTACGGTCACATTTAGAGGTTGTATAACCTTTGCTAACAACTGTACGTGATACTGTGCTTTAATCCTCACTCCTGAGGAGGCAAGGAGCAAAGCACCCTGGTTTTACAAATCATAGTCACTGAAAACCAGCAAGATTAGAATTTGGTGGCCATTTGTTGCTGGTTTTCAACAGAACAGCAAACAGCACTTATGAATGATGTGGGGAGCTGAAGAACCGTTCTTCCCTCTAACTTAATTGAAAACCAAGAATTGGCAAGGATCCTCCGTCTCTACAGGTGACAACATGGCAGAATCCTCCATGGTCAAAAAAAGAAAGAACCAATGACGGGGAAGCCAACTTGCTGAGAACAGGGTGGCCAGGAGACTCGCAGGCTAGTCAAGGGAGAAGAGAAAGCATGCTGCATAATTGGAACAAGCCATCATGAAAACAATCCCAAACTTAATTCACTTGGATGGGACTTCACATGGTGCTTAGAAGAATTAGCACTTTATCCTTGCAGACATGAGAAGCTAGAACTCGTTCCGCTGTTTTGCAATCACTGATGTCCTTTCCCACCCCCACTCCCCCGTTTTTTTTTTAAGAGCCAGCAAAAGAGGAGTCTTAACAGCTCCCCCTGGGAACTGCAGTTGTGTCAAGGAACAGCTGGTATGTCCCTGGGAGGTCAGTCTCTAGCAGGTGGTCAGGAGGACACAAAGCCTGTACCCCAGGGACAGTGTGGATCCAGCCGTGTGCCACTCCTGAACACTGGGAAGCCAGGTTCACCCGTGGGGCGGCATCGCAGGCAGAGCGACCCTTCAGTCCCCCCACGGAGGAAACCCTGCCTTGGTGCTCACCCTGAATAGACCATCAAAGGAACCAGAGTGACTTTCTTTGAGAGAAGCGGTTACAACTGGAGGGCTGTAGTTAACCGTGGCCAAGGTTTTCCATTGTTATTCCACAGTTGCTTGATGTTCTGAAAGATATTTAGAAAAATGACTTTAGCTGTCCTGTGCCAAACTGGGCAAGGGTGAAAAAAAACCGAAAGTTGGCAGACATGTTGTTCATTCAGCATGTAGTTTGGATGACATCCAGTGACTAACACAGGAGTTTTAACTGATCTGGGAGACTAAAAACCATTCACAAATAATTTGATTTAGGGTCACTGTGATTTCTTTTTACAAATAATTTTCATTGAGAAATATTTTTTTAATTAGGATTGACAGACCTAATAGCAACTCTATTGTGTGCACAGTCCATCTTCCCTATCATCATAAATGACTTACATATGTGGTGTGCTAGTTTCTTGTTCACTGTACACGATAGGGCTTGTTCACAGGGCAAACAACGCCTCGCAGACAGTGCACAAGCCGTGCTGGGCTTCTCCCTCCAAAGGCACGCTCTAAAGAAGACCCAGACAGAAAGCAACAGAAGCTTTCACCATCCTGTTCCACATCCCAGTCCGGTGGCTGGTCTAAGCCTTCGCACAACTTCAGACATCCCACGCAGACATCCACGCATAACCACCTTCTAATTGTTTCGGCTCCGAGAGTCGGAGATGGCAACTTTGCTTTGATTGCTTTATTGCTCCAAGTCCTACCACGGCTCAGAAAATACTCGGAACCCTTTTCCTCGGCAGGAGGGCTGAACAAGGACTGGACTAAGGCAAAGATCTGACACATCCTGGCAAAAAGCTGTGTCCAACAGCAAGTCTTAACTCGGTCATCCCCTAACATAGTGGATCGCCGAGCTAAGCCTGAATAGATCTGGGAAGACCATAGGAGAAATCAGATGGTGGATGGGAGAAGAATGGCTCAGTGACTCGAATGCATCTTTCTTGGCAACACCCTCTGCGTGTGACAGCCTCTTCTCTGACTTGCACAATAACAATTGCATCTCAGCCACTTTTGTTACAAATCTTATCTGTTGTTTGAATGGCTCTTAGATTCCCTCCTGCCGTTATAAATGTTCGTACAAGTTCTTGGAGTCAGCAGAGTTGTTGTTTAGTAGCTGAATAACAGGCTCGGGCTCCAAACTTTGTGATGCTCACTGTAATGATCAGATATGTTCTTAAAAGCCCTCTGAATTGGATTTTAAAACAAAAGTCCCATTGATCTCAAACCTGAAATCCCAGCCATGACTCTGAAAACCTTCTGCCCCGTCTTTCAGAGGAACCGAAGCTGGTGCGATAAAAGATGACTACAATGGTCAAAGAAAGGGTCTATCTTATGAGAAAAAACTACCAAAACCTGGTCTTATTTAACTACCAGAACAGGGGCTGAAGGGGATATAATTGCTACTGAGAGAACACGTGGAAGGGGAGAAAACATGAGAAAACCTTATGAAAGCTCTGAGCCAAAAGCTGTGGAGCTGTCAAGAAGCCCTCGGTATGTTCAGACTGGGGTCGGAAAGATTTCTGATTTTCAGAGCAAAGGTCTGCGACGGGTTTCAGCAGAACCCACACAAGCAATCAACATGAACCCTGACAAACATATGGGACATATTGATATGACCACATCAACAAGGGAGGGCAGCATGGGACCCAGGAGGTCCAGTCTTTTGCCATCAGTATCTGGGTGAGGTATGAAGAGATTCTCCTGTCTCCTGAATCTGTCCATCACCTCTGTCCATCCTGTTTTGCACCTCCCTCTGTTCAAACAGTCCCATCAGGCTTGTCTTGGCCATGTTATATTGTTTTAGTGCTGGGCAGACCAATGCAGGTTTAGTGCTGGGTCAGACCCTGCAACAGAGCCACAGCTACTCAGCCAGGAGGGGCTGCTATGGTAGAGCTCCTATTGAAAAAGATTACCTATTGGGAAGTAAAAAGTGCATTTTTCTGGTTTCTTCTGTTTACTTAAATAAGCAAAAGCCTGTATTCAAGCCACATTGAGACTCAAAACCAGAGTATTAGGTAGTTGCTTTGACTAGCAACACAGAAAGATGCTGAGAAAGCAGGGTCCCACCAACAGCATCCCACCAAAGGAGAAGCATCGGCAGGTCTGTCCCCAGGATCACCAGTAGCCTGGACCTCCAGTCACCTGGAGCACATCCACTCTGAAAGCAGTAACACCAGCCTGCACTGGGGAGGAGAACTGATCTCTGCTGCGGGCTACACTTGATCAGCACCATCACCACCAGCAATTCTCACCCCACTGTGGTCAGAGACAAGGCCACATGCTTCCTGGGTGCCAGGCTTTCACCAAATGCATCTCAGCAGTTATGTATCTACCAGCTCTCCCACATGAATAAAGCAGTGGCTTAGGCTCCATGAGGATATCTACTGGTGTTACAAGAGGCATCATTAGGCCTCAGTTAAAATCGTTTAATGTCATCCGTCTTCACAATAAAAAGAGCAAAAGGAGAGAGAAGGACTGGCAGAGCATCAGCCCTCAGGTTGCCACAGGGGCGCAGTGCGGCGATGCCGGCCCAGCGCACAGTTCCCACGCCGGGACCCACGGGAGAGGTCTGGCCCCGGGGCGGGCTGAGACTCAAACGTAGCATCCACGTAGCACGGCGTGTCCCGGGCGTTCGGGGCAGTGCTGCAGGCTGACAGATAGCTGCTGACAGCTGGCAAGCTGCAGCTCACCGCAGCTCCTAAACATCGCTTCTGTGTTAAAAGGAAACTGTTTTCCTCTCCGTGCTTTGTTTTGGGTTGGTTTTTGGTTTTTTTTGTCGTGCTGTGATTTGGGCTGGACTGGCCAATGGGGGACGGCAAATGCTATCCCTCACCTCTCTGTCCTAGGAGGGAGGACACATCATTACCCACGGAGTCACTAATAACACAGGCTTTAATCGTAGTGACGGGGCAGGTGGGGGGGTTCCTCCCGTGACACCTAAGTGTCACCTAAGACATGCAGACATCTTTGCAACTTCATTCTGAATCTTCAATCCTTGATGAACGTTACTCCCTCCAGCACAGAGCGCGTCTTGAGGGCCACCACGGCCCCCACCTTGTGAACCCCACTTGTGGGATTTTTGGCAGCGCTCGTGGCAGCATCTGTCACCTCCACGAGCAGGGAGAGGCACTTTTAGCCAAAGCCAGCCCCACTGGGGCCGGGATGCAGGATTCGCGGGGCGGTGGCAAGGACGAGAAGCAGAGGGATCTCCCCGAAAACCCACCAAAAAGCTGCGGTGGCAATGCCACCACGGGCTCGTCGGCGCTTCCCGCTCCCGCCGGCGGCCCCCGGGGGAGGGGGGGCACACAAAGCCCCCAGGGCCGGGAGACGCCTCCGGTGCCCGGCTGCGGGGGTGAGGACGAGGCTCCGGGGGGGCGGCCGCCCGCCCCCGGCGCGGCGCTGCTGCCC